TGCCATTGCAAAATCAACACGCCTCAAATAGAATGTCTGATTCCAGACCACCTCCCTTCTCCATTCTTATATACAACCATGTCAGTCGATGGCATCATTCTTCACCCAGTTGCTCAGCCCAAAAACTTTGGTGTTATCCTTGACTCCTCTGTTTTCCTCATCCCCGCCAAGATCCAAACCATCAGCAAGTCTTGTGGGTTCTTCCTTCAAAATACATCCAGCATCCCAACAACTTTTCTCCACCTACTACTGTCACCCAAACCCAAGTCACCATCAGCCACTTGGACAGCAATAGCTTTCCTGACTGGTCTTACTGCTTAAATCCTTCCCCTTTCCAATCAGTTCTCCACATAGCTGCCTTCTGATCTTTTAAAAATGTACATTAAGTTATGTCACTCCTCAAGTGTGACTTTACATCACACTTGGAATGAAATTTGCAGGGTTTCCATGAGCTGCAGGCCCTGTACAATCCCGTGGCTCCCACCTCTCAGCCTAACTGCCAGCTCTTCTGCTCTTGCTCCCTTCACTCCAGCCATACAGGCCTTCTTTGCAGGTGCCGAGCTTGGGCCTGCTCAGTCTGTCTGTGCGGTTCCCTCTGTGTGGAATGTTCTTTTCCCAGGCTACTTCTCACCCTTCACATCTGTGCTCTCTTGTTACCTCTCCAGGGGGGACTTTTCAGACCACCTTATCTTAGCACTCTCTTCCCACATCTCTTTCTACCTCTTGTCCGTGCTTCATTTTCTTAGTGTCAAGGCCTGAAATGAAATCCCTTGTTTACATTTGTTCTCTCTCTTGCCCACTAGAAGGTAAGCTTTGTGAGAGCAGGGACTTGGTGGTGTCCAGTAAATATTTGTTGGGTGGGTTAATGAGTGAGTGGTATCACTTTCATCTCAGTCTCTACACACAGCAAGCATTTGGTACGTTTGCCCAGTGGAGAGTCTTAGAATCCAGGCCCTGATCCAGAAAATTCCAGGCCTAGTGCAGGCCCCTCCAGGCCTTGGAGTAGAAGGTATGTGAACTCACTGGGCTTCCCTGAGGGCTCTGCATGTCTTTGTCAAGGGCATAGTGATAACATAGCTACGGGGTTGGAGGTTTCAGAGGACTGTTAGTAAACCTTCTTGCTGTTTCCACGGCCATTTCTTCTGCTGAGCCCTCCTCTTTGTCCTCAAGTTTAGTTCTACACACATTCCAGAGTCCTCTGCCGGCCCTGCTATGGGGGAAGGCAGAGCCACGGAAGCTTTGCTGTGATGAACTCATGGCAAGGAGAAGTCCACAATAGCTGTTACAGAAGGCGAGAGGACTGAGTGCAAAAAATCGGTCAGGCAGCTAGGCCCCAAAGTGCCTGATCAGCCACCCATCTGGTCCCAGTGAACTGGCCTGAACTTTTCTGACGCAGGACCTGCTGCCTTGTCTTAATCTAGAAACATTCCTCAGAGTGAACAGGTTGGGTCTACCATGTTCCAACCCAGCTTCAGGGATTCTGGGAATCCTGGCTGGCACGGATAGCTTCTGAACTTAGAGTTAAAGCTGTTTCAAGATTTGTTTGTACCCAAGGAGGGTGGTCTGTGGGCTCCAGTTACTGTAGAAGATGACTCTCCAGATGACTTTTTCTTCTGCTGACCATGGCTCTCAGGTGCACACTGTATTGCAGCTGAGAGCCTTGGCAAATGTGGATGCTCATTCATGTACATGCCATTAAAAATTTATTGAGCTGTTATGTGTGATGGGATAGTTTTTTGAGATGTTTAACAATATTCCCATGACCATGTAGTTCACCACTCTCCCCTCAGTTCACACCTTCACTGCCCCTACCCCCCTTCATTCAAGGTGCTGCCTTTTTGTTGTCTATGTTCCCCAGGGAAGGGGTATGATAGACATATAAGAAAAATCAAAGGAGGCTTTCTTGCTTTGGTATTCCATAATTAGGGAAGACTCCAAGAATAGATAAAATTTCGGAAAAAGAGAGAGAGAGAAGGAAAGAGAAAGAGAGAGACTTCTCAAACTCCACCCTCAAAGAAGAGGTTGCCCTAAGGCTGGGAGAAAGAAAAGACAAAGGGGGAAAAAAGGGGAATACAGACCCAGAGGCCAAGCTGAAGCTTGGGGATTCCTTTACTCCAAGGAAGGAGCAGCCTGATTCCCAAGCTCTTAGATGTGGCACAGAGGGGAAGAGTGCTTCCAGGCCAGCAGGGTCCTGGTTGTCAGAAACAAGAGAAATAGTGGTGGCAACTGGCATGGCTGATGACCAAAGGCCAGAAGCCCACCTCCATCATCTTAATGGGCTGGGGGAAAATTGTGCGGTGGAGTCCAAAAGACTGAGATAAATTTCTGTTCTTTTGGAAGAATGGGAATTCAGATTAAAAATTAAGCTAAGTTTTTACACACACACACACACACACACACACACACACACACACACGTTATATTTCAAAAAGAAAGTTTTTGAGTTCCTACTGTGTCCCAGGCTGGGATCAGCTACAGACACCATGGTCTCTGGCCAGGCTGGGACACTCCTATGCTGAACAGAGTGGCTTTTTGAGCTTTCTCTGAAATGCACCTGTTCATCTCCTTTTCCCAGTCAGCTCCCCTCTCAACTCCAACATGGCATACAAGATTCTTCACCATGGGTCCCTGCTTACTTGCTCTTTTTTTTCTTCTTGCCACACTGAACCTTCTGTGCTCCACCCAAAATGCCTTTCTCCCAGGAGACTTGTGTTTTCTTGCCTCTGTGTTTCTGCCCACATAGCTTCCCGTCTGGGGAATTTTTCCCCTGTGTCATTTTGTTTTGTAAAGGCCTAACATTAGTACTTTAATCCCCTGGTCAGAAATAATTGCTCCTCTCTTGGAGCTCTAGCCAGCATGGCTGCATGCACTTTTATTTAGTACTTTTGTTTGGTCCTTTACTAGAGATAGTTGGTTATGGATTTGCCTTTTCTGTCTTAGAGTTACCCTGGGCAGAAGCCACATCTCTGGCATTATCCCGAGGTCTGGCATAGGGGTAGATACCTGTGACTTTTGAAAGGATGAATAGCACAAATTACCCTGTGTGAGACGGGTGGGATTTGGTTGTAGAGATGATGCATGTAAGTGCACATTAAATGTTCAAAAAATTGTAGGGCCGAGGTGGTTCTGTGGTTGAGCGTCATGGTTTGATTCCTGGTCAGGGCGCATGCCTGGGTTGTGGGCTCAATTCCTAGTGGGGGGTCTGCAGGAGGCAGTTGATCAATGATTCTCTCTCATCATTGATGTTTCTATCTCTCTCTCCCTCCCTCTTCCTCTCAGAAACCAATAAAGATATATTTTAAAAATTGTAGTGTGTCTTATTATTGTTGCTAATGGTGTTATTATTGGTAGAAATGTTACATTCCGAATGGCCTGATCTATCTCTCTCTCCCTCTCTCTTCCTCTCAGAAACAAATAAAGATATATTTTAAAAATTTTAGTGGGTCTTATTATTGCTGCTAATGGTGTTATTATTGGTAGAAAAGTTACATTCCGAATGGCCTGACCCACCCAGTTAGTGACTCATGAAACAGGGAGCGGCAGAATTACAATCCAACCTCCTTATTGCCCAAATGAGGAAACAGGCCCACAG